CCACAAGTTTTATTATTTGCTTGGTTTCCTTTTAGTTCTCCGCAAGTTCTTGGAATGATGACGGAATTCAGAATTGGACATTGCACCGTAATAAAACCTGAAAACAATATAATACATAAAATTATATTTCATATACCTTGCATAGAACCTTACCCATTTAAAACAATAAACATATTTTACACATTTTTAGAATTGTACAAAGTAATCATAAGAACAAATCATGGAAAATTCTTTTATAGCTTAGAGATTTCAGCAGTAAACATACTTTAAATCATTGACTGAATATAGAATCAAGAACGTTTATAATTCCCTGTCCCACAACTTGGGCTCTACCGAGGCAGAAACTATTATTGAAATCCAGGGTGCTTCTCTTCCTGACAAGTTTTCACATCTCTAAAGCCACCTCTTGGCTGTAAGTTCAACTTTAATATCAATCTCACTCCATGATTTGGTTTAAAATAAGAAAAGGTATGTGTCAGGGTTGCATCCTTCCAGTATACTTACTAAGTCTGTATGCTGAGCAGATAATCCAAGAAGTTGGACTATATGAATAAGAATGCAGCATCAGGATTGGAGGAAGACTCATTAACGATCTGTGATATGCAGATGACACAACCTTGCTTGCTGAAAGCAAAGAGGACTTGAACCACTTACTGATGAAGATCAAAGACTACAGCCTTCAGTATGGATTACAGTTCAACATAAAGAAAACAAAAATCCTCACAACTGGACTAATAAGCAATATCATGATAAACAGAGGAAATACTGAAGTTGTCTAGGATTTTATTTTACTTGGATCCACAATCAATGCCCATGGAAGCAGCAGTCAGGAAATCAAATGACACATTGCATTGGACAAATCTGTTGCAAAAGACCTCTTTAAAGTGTTAAAAAGTAAAGATGTTACTTTGAGGACTAAAGTGTGCCTGACCCAAGCCATGTTATTTTTAACTGCTTCATATGCATGCAAAAGCTGGACAATGAATAAGGAAGACCGAAGAATTGATGCATTTAAATTATGGTATTGATGAAGAATACTGAATATACTATGGAACAAACAAATCTGCCTTGGAAGAAATACAGCTAGAATGCTGCTTAGAAGCAAGGATAATGAGACTTTGTCACACATACTATGGACATGTTATTAGGAGGGTCCAGTCCCTAGAGCAGGATAGGATGCTTGGGAAAGCAGAGGGTCAGTGAAAAAAAGGAAGACCCTCAACGAGTTAGATTGACACAGTGGTTGCAAAAAAGGGCTCAAACATACCAATGATTGTGAGTATGGTGCATGCCCAGGCAGTGGTTCATTCTGTTGTACATAGGGTGGCTATGAGTTGGAACTGACTCGAGGACATCTAACAACCACAACACTCCTTCAAAAACTTTTTCTAAACTTTGACTAAGTTCTCTTTCTAGGAGACAGTCATTCCTAATTGCATTTAATTATATTCTATTTGAGAGTTTTGTGTATGTTTTGATTATATACACATTGGCTCCCCTGTAATTATGGAAAAGTATTTAATATCCTTATTTTCTCATGCCTGTGGTCTTTATCACCAAGTATCTTCTCATTGAAGGATTGAATTGACACTTTAGGTTGAGGTGATATGTAGAGCTTGAGAACAACATCTTTGCATAAAATCACTTGATGCCCAATGACATTCTCGTATATCATTTTCTTGCCCATCACCTTGCCCAAGCTGATTTTTCATATGTTCTTAGACTTTAGGCAATTTTATCAAATTCTGGCACTATATAGATGTTTGAAGTCTTATGGAAAAAAATTGGAAGGGCATCCTACCTTAAAGAAATGACTACTAGTGAAAGATACAAGAATGTTTTAATCCATGATGAAACTGGCCTAAAGTCATAACTTTTACATTTTCTGAATCAGGCTTTGGCTATGAGCAGATTCAATATTCTATTGCCATCTAGAAAAAAATTTAAAATCTCTCCTCAGCTTCACCCGTTTCCTCCCAACACAGCTTCTTATTGTTGAACACAAGCCTTTTCTTCACAGTTAATAAGTTTTGATTATGTCTCAGGATACCACTGCCATTTCATGGATGAACTTTCTATTATTCAGCTATTTTATCTGTTTAATTACTCCATAATGAAGAATATGAAAGTCTTTACCTTATGTTTTATAACTTTTTCCATAATTTTCTAAGACAATCACCCTTGTAATAGTCTATATCATTAGGCCAACAACTTAAAAGCTAACTTTCTAATAATTAAAGGAATGTTCGTTGCGGGCCATTTAAACTAATCTGGGAGCAACATTTTTATCTAGCATGAGCAATATGTTCTTTCATTCTGTGATTTTTGTTTCACAACTTTATATATTGTTGCTGGCCAAAGCTATTTCTATAATGAATGCATATACGTATATATTTGATACTCAAATCCATCTACTCTGAATTTTTTAAATCCCAGTAGAGCTTTTGGTGTCTTGAAGACAAACTGAGGTTGTAATTAAGGTATATAATTTGGCCATATTCAAACCAAGAATCAGAATTTAATCTATTTCTTTTTTTCCCCTATTTTTTCCAACATTGTATTGCTTCTAATTGCATAATAAGGGCATTGAAGTTAAGTCTTTCACATTTTTAACTGGTAGGTTTATGCCCAATTAGAAGCATTTCTATTCCAGGATTTTCAAAATAAGGGAATTCTTTGAGGTTAATTTAATAAATATATCTTGAATTAACACCTCAACATTTCTTCAAGCTGGATAGAAATTTAGTAAGGTGGTAAATACATTCCTAAAGAAATTAAATTTAAACTGCATAGATATTTTCTTATAACAATATCAATTTTCTCTATGATTATACTCACATCCCAAAAAAGGGGATGGGAGGACTCTTCAATGTACATCTACGTAAAAGATGAATAAGTCAAGACTCTTTTAGTTAAAAGTGGTAGATTATGTCCACAGTAGCTTAGGTATAAAGTAAAGTTTACAGGAAGGATGATGGGTTATCTCATCTCATTGAAGGAAGGGTTATGGGCTCCCAGAACAAGTGAAACCAAGAACAGGAATGCTTTTAAAACTCTCTTTTCCTCCTCTTTTGGATGCTTTCTGCTCATTAACTTTATTTTCCTTTAGCCTATTTAGTGACTTTCCTGGACTAATTTTATAAATTACATATTTTGTGTGTGGTCACTGAAGTCTCTGTTTGGTTAGGTTAGTGGTGAAGTCATGATTAGACAGAGATGTCCCTAGACACCTGGAATCAATCAATCTCCCAGTCTTTGCCAAGGGGCTCTGTGTGCACATTGGGATCCAGCTTCAACACTCAGCCAGGCAGTTACAACTCTGACTTAGCTTTCAGATTCCTGCTTGTGCGGAGACTTTAGGCCAGAGAGAGGAAAGTGCACAACCTTCTCAGCTTTTATCTGAACATGCACAGAGCCCAACACGTGCATGTGACCTTCTGGAGTCCCAGGAATATGGCAGAGTTTTTTTTAAAGCCTCTATGGACATCTCATTCATCAGCTTTTCCTTTTAAGCTTCTTGGTTAGTCTATTGTTTGCCCCAGCTGTTATATCCATGCTTCAGGTAGCCACGATGTTAAAACATTTGCCTGTAAATGTTTCTGACAAACACCCACTGAGGACAGCCTTTTAGCATTGGGTGGGTTTTGATTCAGCTCAATAAAGACAATTATTTTGAGTGGGGACTTCTAGGGAACCGCCAGACAAGTCAAATAACGACAGTTTGATGGGGGAAACCCTCTGGTACAGGGAAAGTAGACTGTTATTTTGCAAGGTTACTGCTAAGCTTGTGAACAAGAGGTGGGACTAGGGTAAATTAAAATACCACAAAGCTAACCATTCTTGCTGAGATCAGCTGTTCTTCTTGAATAAACTCTCCCTGGTTTGCTGCAAACCTTTGCTTAATTTTCAGAGTTCTGAAAAAGTTTCTTTTAACAATTTTGCCAGTTTTTAATTGCTTTTATGGAGGGGCAAATTTTTGGAGGTCCTTACCTGCCATTTTTGCTGACATCCACCATATGTTAGAATTTGATTTATTCATTAAATACAATGTTTTTTTCTTAAATACAATGTTTTAGAACATGTTATAATCACTTGAAAAAAATTCATGTTGTGTTATCTTAATAAAAAATAGATTATAACAGATTATAAAATATTTTGCTGAGTATGATCCCAATTATTTGTTAATAGTGTATATTAACCTGTAAAGATAACTGGAGATTTATAGTAATAAAAGTCTTCTAATTTCTTATTTATTCTGTTTTGTATTTTTCTTGAGGGGGTCAGAATACGTGTGTGTGTGTGTCTGTATGTATTTTGTTTTACAATTATAAAACAAAACAATTCTTTGTGTTTTTAAATCACTAAACCCTTAAGCTATTATTGTTTGTATTAACATTTTAATGGTAATTAAATAATCATTAAGGAATGTCAAATTATCTCTCCATGGTAGGAGTCCCTTATCCATACAAAAACTTCAAGTCAAAGCAGGGTTTCTCAGTTTTAGCACAATTGACATTTTGGGCCCAGTGATTTTTGCTGTGGTGGAGGAGGGCGGTCTGTGCATTGTAGGATGTTTAGGAGCATGTCTAACACCTACCAATTACATGCCAATAGCATCCCCAAGTTGTAACAAATAAGACAAAAAAAAATACGCTCAGATGTTGCAAAATGTCTCCTGGGAGACAATATTACCCCCAGTTTATAATCACGGAGTTAAAGAAGCCCTTTTATAAAGGAAATAAACATCAGTGTTATTTCAAAATGGGATTTATCTACTGTGAGGTTCTACTTGTTTTCTTTACCAGTCATTTCTTAACTGGAGTAAACCTCATTCCATCAGGGAACAAAGGTAAATATTGGCTTACCAGAATATCCCTTGATTCTCATTTTAATTTCTATCTAAAATGCAGGAATCTTCATTACATTTTTGGTTTAATGTTACAGCATTTAGTTTTTACATTGTTTCTGATTATAATGCTGGTTGTTCCATGTTTGTACAGCTCGCTCAGCCATTGCAGGAAGTTGTGTCAATGATGGAGTGCACATCATTAGAGGTTACAGCTTATCTTCCTCACCGATTGCTACCGTGTGTGGTGATGAGATCCTGGCTCCGGTCTCCATCTCTGGTCCAGTGCTGCTTAACTTCTACTCTAATGCGCACATCACAGACTTTGGATTCAAGTTTTCCTATAGGATAACCTGTGAGTAGCCATAATGATGTAGTTTGAAGTTTTGTTTTTCTTCCATGTCTATTTATTTATTATTATTAATTTTTTTGGTGTGTGTATAATTCATATAAGGAGATTTATTTGTGATTTATATTATCACCAGCTTGAATCTTCAGAAGACTTTAAAAAAAAAAAATTCATTAGATGCCTGGTCCAAAACTTCTCAGACAATTTTTATTAAAAATAGAGGAGAGTGGCTTTTTTTTTTTTTTTTTTTTTTTGGTGAACTTTGGCTGGAACTACTCTTTGAAAATAAAATGGAGAATCAAGATATTTATTTGGATAATGTAAGTGCAAATGAACATTACTGCTATCTTTAGTTGTTTGTACCTTACACATAGTATCTTTTTGGCATGGATTATCCAGATACCTGTTTCCCTTCCCCAAGTCACTTTGCTAATATGAAAATCAATATTTTATAAATCTAGAAGAAATACAAGAGAATATCTTTATGATCTTCTGTTAGGGAAGGATTTTTTTTAAAACAATATGCAAAAAGCACAAGCCCTAAAGAAAAGGAAATGCATGCAACTGTATTATAATTTTAAAAGTGTGTGAATCAAAGCCAAAGTGAAGAGACAGGCCACAGATGGGGTAAGGATCTTCATAGCTACTAAGATCTTTTTATTCTTATAGACAATTTGGTCTGTGTTTATTTGATATAATAAGATTGTATTTCCCTGCTTTGAATAGGTAGTCTTTTTCTCTCCTGCAGTGAACTTGTTTGCTTATTTAACTTACAAAATTTTTAGCACATCATCCCAACTTCAGTGAAATGGGCACACAGATCCTGAAAAATCTTTATTTTATGTCATCTTTACTTGAAACCCAGTGCTAAAGGTAGAATGTTAAGAAGTTTTCTTTCAAATAAATTACTGTTTCCATCAGCAGAGAAGACTTAAAATGTTTACTTACTCATGAAGAAAGCTTTTGTAATTCATTTACTAATTCAGTAATTCATTACTGCTATCTGAATCCTTACCCTCAACATTTACGAAGTATGAGTATGTATGGTTTTATAGGTTTCTTGGCACAAACAGAATAGATTTGAGCAATTAACATTTCTTCCCCAAGTTAATTTGTTGTAGAAAGAGAAAGCTTGATTTGTTTTATTCTTTTTGTTTAATTGCTACTTTGAGGAGTTAAACCCTGCTTCATATTCTTCTAACTTTTTATCCTTTATTTTCTTAAAACAATGTATGCAAGTTTCCATATATCTATTATAAGATCTAATTTAAAGAATGCTATTTTTATTAAGACTTCAAATCCTTACAGTGTGCAAATTTGAGAGTTATTTAAGCATTTGTAAGTTTTCAGAGACCACATGATTGTGTACAAATGAAATAGAGTAATGTCTACATAAATCTGACATTTAATCCACTACAAATGTACCCAGGGATCTGAGCACATGAATACTTATGGGCATATAGAGAATAGTTTCCTTGCAAAGTAGGCTCAGCTGAGACCATGATAATATAAAGAACCTTAAATGGCAACCACAATTTGTTTCTGATTTCTAAAAGATGTAAATGGATATATCCATAGATATTGAAATAGTATCAAAATATACCAACCTCACTATAAATTTGGTGTTGTAATATAAAATAAATATAGCCCTTCCTCACTGCAGACAGTGGGGGACTTTTTGCATTCAATGACACAATTTCATCCTCCTCCAATGTAAACCAAGGAGTAATGAGGCATTTTAAATTGTTTATAACATGGCTTTATGATAGTTTTATGGCTGTCATTTTCTTGACTAATAGGAGTAACTAAGGGCTCTGAGCTGTTGGTTTCCGGACTTAGGGTGGGGAACGGGCCTGTCTCTCGCGCTTGTTGAGGACTAATAATACAAATTTGGGCAAGTGTAGTTCTTCCCCATCTCACAGTTCAATGGAAATACATAAGACCTGAGAATTACGTATTTAAATCCACAGAGGGAACCAAACTTGGAGATACCAGAAAGATTTCCAATACCTTACTTTAGGAAATTCCATCCTTAACAGAGGAGATTTGAATCTCAGAGTTATTTCTAAACACAATGAAGGGATGTTTGAGTTGCTTTAAGAAAAATAATTATTATCTCTCTTATGGAAAAAAACACAGTAGTATAGTATATTTCAGAATTATCTTTCTACACATAACTATTTTCTGATATTCTCTTGTTCTCTGTTGCAGCCTGTGGTGGTGTGTTTAACTTCTCCACCGGAATCATCCGGAGTCCCTCCTATTCGTATTCAAACTACCCTAACAACATGTACTGTTTGTATTTCATCACCGTTAGAGATGACAAAGTGATTCAGCTCAAGTATGTAGGAAAAAATTACCTTCTTAACAAAATCTTTTCAGCTCTGTTTATAGAATAGATGTTCCTTTACTGATAGAGAGCATTGATTCTCATCAGAGGTATATATGGGAATCTAGAGGAAGGGGGAGCAAGTTCCTGTATAGCAGTAGGAAACTAGGAAACTGGCTTCCTGCCCTCCCTGCAAGCAAATAATGATCAAAGGGGTAGACTAGGTACTCCACCAGTTAAAAATTGTTGTTATAATTTTCCCACAGTTGCAATGGACCTTTCATATAATGGTTTGAAATCAAAGTGGGCAGCAAAGGCAAGAGAATGAAGTCGCCATTTGTTGAGCATTTATTGTATACAAGGAACTTGAATTAACACTTATTATCTTATTTAGTTATTTAAAAAGTCGCATTAGGTATATATTAATTACTCATTTCACCGATGAGAGAACTGAGGCTCAGAGACATCAAAATGAAAGAACATATACAAACAACTAAATGAAGACTTAAAATTTGAATCCATGTTAGTTTTCCTCCAAAGATCACGTCCTTTCTGTTTCCCTATGCTGTCTCTCAAATGGTTATCTTCTAACTATTTAAGAAATTTTTCTTTATTCATGTATCAGAACACATTTAAACTGGTGCTGTAAGAGATATCATACATCCTCATTAAAATTCTTCCCCTAAACGTACTTATCTCAATTAAGGGAATGCAAACTCCAGTTCACAGAGTGATAAATGAAGCTCAAGACTGCTTTCATCTATGACAATATCTTTCTAACTGTATGTGTCGGTGATATACAACATGGTATGGAAATCTCTGGAGGTCGATATAGTTCATGGCACTGTAGGATTTTCACATAGAAGCCTGGTGGGCTAGGACTACACCTCCTTCCCTTCCCCAATCCATTTATGATCACTTTCTGCCCTAAACATGATAAACTCTGCAGTTTACCTCTAAGGGCCTCTGCATCAAATGGGGCCTTGGATTGTGAGACAGGTCTCAGCATGCCTGGTTTGCTTGTGCATCAGTAAGTAGTCCTTCAAGAAAATTGTAAGGAAACAGTTCCCCCCCTCCGCCCGCCCCCTACAGAAGCCCTTTAAGTTCCAGGGACAAAAGAATAAACAAAAACAGCCCTACAGCTAGAAGGCCTATGAAGGGATCACCTGCCCAGGAATGGGAACATATGCTCTTGCCATTTGCTGCTGGCACAGGGTTCGTTTCCCGCATGTGTAAGATTATAGTTACTATCTATATGTATATTGCTATACACACACATATATTTTCTATATATACATATACATTTTGCTATGTTGTTGTTGTGCGCTGTTGAGTCGATTCAGGCTAATAGTGACCCTACAGGACAGAGTAGAACTACCCCATAGGGTTTCCAAGGTTGATCACCAGGTCTTTTCTCCCAGGGAGCTTCTGGTGCGTTTCAAACCACCGACCTTGCAGTTAGCAGCTAAGTACTTAACTATTGTGTCACCAGGGCTCCTTTTATTTATTTTTTAATATATGTGTGTGTGTGTGTGTGTGTGTGTGTGTGTAGGCAGAACAGCTATTGTTCTACCCTGAACTTTTACAAGAACATGAAATGCTGCATGTGGTTAAAAAAAGAAAGAAAATTTTTATTTTGATCTTCATCATCAGTTTGAAAAAAAATCAACCAACAAATATCTAATTGAGAAAAATCAACAGATCCTTTTTCTTAAAGTCTTTAAAAGGAAGTATGTATTTTAATCGTTAGATATTTTCAAAATTATTCTGTATTATATATTAATTATTCCAGCTTCTAACAACAACAAAAAAAAAAGCTGAGTAAGTAGAAGAATATACAAAAAAGAGGAAAGGATATCGAGGAATTTACACAAATTTTTAAAAGAAAATGCACTATAATAAACACCACCATAAAATCCAGAAGAAAAAATATGTAGAAAGCCTTGCTTCTTTGGGAAAGTTACTTGAAATGACAAATAATATTTTTTCCTTACTTGGTATGGTAGTAACTTGAATGAATAGTTACCTAAAATGAGAAAGCATAAGGCCGAGGTTAAAATAGGGTGTTAGACCATATAGGAAAATTCAGAAATGTATCTGTCATAAACCAAAAAAAACCCATTGCCGTCAAGTTGATTCCAACTCATAGCTACCCTATAGGACAGACTATAGAACTACCCTATAGAACTGCCCCATAGAGTTTCCAAGGAGCACCTGGTGGATTTGAACTGCCAACCTTTTGGTTAACAGCCGTAGCACTTAACCACTCTGCCACCAGGGTTTCTATATCTGTCATGGCAGGTTATAAATGGTAACAAACACCCCCTCAAGGCACAGCAGCTTAACTCAATACGATTATTTCTCACTCATGGTGTATGTCCAGTGGTGCCTAGCAAGGAAGCTCTGCTCATGGTGGTCACTCAGAGACCAAGGCTCATGGAAGTTTAATTTCTGCTGGTGCTTCTGTGATCATCACTGCAGAGGAAGAGAATGTGGCAAATTGAGTAGTACTTTTTAAAACTTGTTCCAAAAAGAAGTACATATGACTTCTGCTCACGTTTCACTGGCCAAAGCAAGTCTTATGGTCGTGTCAAACCTGAAAGACTGTTCAGAAGTGTAATCCTACCAAGTGCCAGGAAGGCAGAGAGCTGGGGATATGCAGAGAGGTTCCAGTGACTACCACAATGAACTTCAGTGTGAATTTCTTGTTATAGCAAAGAAATGCGACTCAAGGGAATTGAGCTAATTCTTCTCTACTACTAGTGTTATATATTGTTTTCTTTTATGAGAATCAACTTATTTCATATTCCTTGTTTTCAAAATCATATAATAACAATAACTTTAATTTTTAAAGCATCTACTATACACCTGATACAATAGTTTTGTTTTTTACATGTTATTTCACCGAATCTTACTATAACTCTCCTTTTAAAAACAGGAAAACAGAGACTGAGGAAGAGAAAAATTTATCTGTAATTCTAAAGCCAGGACTTAATCCATTCTATTATATATTAACTGTCTTGCCATAAGTAAAGAATAATAGTACCCCTTTATCTTTCAAAATAATGCGGAAGCAGAGTAAATGCCATATTATTTCATGAGACTGACAAATAATGTGTTGCTTAAATGATAAATAAAAATCACTTCAGCTTGTCAAAACTTTATTTCAAATGGACTTAATGTGTTTGAGGCTGCAAACTCCTTGAGGTCTAGGATTGTATCTTACTCATCTTTGTATCCCTAGCTCTGATCACAGTTTTTTAGGTACTCGAAATTTTTGGGCCAAACTTTTGAGTTGATCAGTAGTAGTCTATCATTTCTAATATTCCTTACTAAGTGAATCTTAGATTTTCTATTTTTAGTCATTGCCTTGTCTTCTTTGTTTTTTTTCCCCAAGAACAAAAGGTACGACTTAATAGATATTCAAACGGAGAACATCAGTATTAACAAGATATATCTCACAGGTTCAATGATTTTGATGTGGTTCCCTCTGCCCTCTGCTCCCAAGACTACCTGGCAATTTATGATGGTTCTAACATCAGTGATCCCCTTCTTGGCAAATTCTGTGGCTCCAAGCTTCCGCCAGATGTTAAGAGCAGCAATAACAGTTTGCTCCTGGTGTTCAAGACAGATTCATTTCAAACAGCAAGAGGCTGGAAGGTATCTTTCCGACAGACATTGGGTAAGAATTTTGGATATGTAAATCTGTTTTTCATGACTGTGACCTGTCTTTCTGCTTTATTTTATTTTATTTTTTTACCCTACTACAGTTGCTTCTCGTTTAAGCTTAGAGATAAATGTCATGTAAAGTCATGGTTTTACGAAGTATGTATGATATCTTTTGATTTAAAAAGAAAAAAATTATTCATCAAACCTACCCCTCCAGCATACAAAGGCAAAAGCTGTCTACATGACCACCTCAAGTGAGCAATAAGCCTCATATCACCTGTGAAAGTAGTAGAATCAAAAAACCAAACCCGCTGCCTTCAGGTTGATTCTGACTCATGGTGATGCCATGTGTTACAGAGTAGAACTGCTCCATAGGGGTTTTAGGCTGTAGTCTTTACAGAAGCAGATCTCCAGGCCTTTCTTCTGTGTCTGCTGTATGGATTCAAACTGCCAACCTTTAGGTTAGTAGATGAGCACAAACTATTTGTGATGAAAGTATTAGAAATTGAGCCTAAAGGCAGGCAAGGGCCAGATCAAGAGATGGCTCCATGACTGTGTTAACTTTATCCTTAAAGTGGTAAACACCACTGGAGAATTTTAAGTAAAGCGTGCATAGCCAGACTTGCCTACTAGAAAAATCTCTGTGGTAGCAGAGTGAAGGAAGGCCTGAGAAACCCTAAGACCCAAAAAGGGAAAAGCTTGTTACAGAAATCTGGCTGGGAAATGTTGAAGGCTTCGACTGACACAGAGGGAATGGAAACAGAGGGAAGGGTAGAAATCTCAGAGATACTCAGAAAATAAAATACATTGGAAATAGAGTGTTTGGAACTTAATGACATATTACATGAGGACACGAGTTAAGGATGACTTTCTATGGATAACTTGTTGGATTGGTGCCTTAGGAAGCTAAGGTTTGGAAAGGGGTCTTATATTTAGTTTGGAGAACCTGTGAAATATCTGAGAGGAGGTATCTTGGAGGCACTTGGAACCTGAGAAGTAATTTGGGCTGGAGATAGCAATCTGGGAGTCGTTAACAGAGATGGCAGGTAAAGCTAGGCCTGAGGATAAATTGAAAATTGTGCCCTGGTTTATTCCAATTGCATGTGCAAAAACAATTACCTATATAAACTTAACTCCAAACTTTGAATCATCTGACATAGAGGATAGTTACTCGATTCCCTGTTTATTCGTACTAATAGAGCATAGCCACAGTCTAAGATAATTTGACTTTGGAAGGTGTTTTGATTCTTCTGTTTGAATATAGATGTGATTACTGTTCTGAAAACTAACAGCTCTTCACACAAATTACCTTGAAGACTCAGAAAGAACTGGGACATTTTCTAGCATGTTAAGCCTTACACATTTTTCCAACTCTTTCTTTCTCTTTACCTCATGCTGTGGATAAGCTTCATCTCTCTGTCTGATACAAAGCAAAACTTACCTTAAACTTCTTTACATTTGGCGTGTTATCTTTTTCATGCATTTCTCGAGGGATACAATTAGACATTTGTGTTTTGAAGGCTTCCCAATAAACCTCAGACATCGTGACAAATTGCATTAGAAAATCACTTTGCCACCTACCCTACTTAGCTGTATCAATAATAACTTGGAAGCAAGTCTCATGGGCAGACAGAATACTGCCTTAAAAGAGTTGGCAAAGTGAAGTGGCATACAAAACACAGAGGGCTGTTTCAAAAGAAAAATTAATTTTCCTTTAGAGATTTTTTGCACAAAAGAACTCATAGATTCTTGCCTTTAGCACAGATTTTAGAACCAAATGGCATATGCTTGCATTTTGCTCTTGCTACCTGCTTTCGAATTGTTTTTCTTATTCCTAGGTTATTCTCAAAGTCCCTGGGTGGTACAAACAGTTAACATGCTTGGCTGCTAACAGAAAGGTTAGTAGTTCTACCCAGAGGTGACTTGGAAGAAAGGCCTGGCAATCTACTTCCAAAAACTCAACCATGGGAAACCCTTATGGAGCACAATTCTGCTCTGACACACATGGGATCACCATGAGTCAGAATCAACTTGGCCATAACTGTTTTTTGTTGTTTTTTTTTTAATGTATTTCACATGACCATTGAGAGTTGTCTTAAAAGCTGTCTTATAAGTAGTCTTAAAAAATGTGCATGAAGCCTCCCAAATTATCCAGAGTTTTCCAGTGTTCCTTAGAGTCCTTAAAGTAATTTGTTTTCTAAGCTAGGAAGAAGACATTTTTAGGCTTCTTGTGATTTTTTCTGAAGTCTCACAGAAGGAAAATCTTGCAGTGTCAGAAGCATTGTCTGTGTATGAGTCATTGAATACTTACAGTCGATGGCTGTTTTCCTTTGATTACTGAGGAACATTTAAGTGTAGAGATCAGAAGTGGAATTGCATTACCTGCCAACATAGTGCTACCACAGTTTTTCACGGTGATGACTTCTATCTCCTATTCATTTGTATAAATGCCATGGGCCACTTTGAAATACTTAAGAAGTCATTTTAAGTAATTGTTAACAGTAATTTTTAACTGAAAGCCTAAGTATTATAATTTTTTATTATTTTGATATTACAGAGCTTTCAGTACCTCACATAAGTCTACTGGTCATTATGTATACCTTTTTAAATTTTGTTTGCTTTGATTTTTATTGTTTATGGTGAGGGAAAGAGGAAGGAACAATAGTAGATTTAATTCTAGAGTTTGTATAACCTTTTTGTTAAAGATCTGGATAAAGAACTTAGATTTGGCTAATAGAGTGTACAGCCTTTCTGTTCTCTCTCATCCATTTGAAACCACCCTGCCTTCCCTGTAAAGAGAGGGAAAACAACTTTGTGGCAGCTGCTCAGATTTTAGTGTAACAGGAAAAGGTTGGACCAGAGAGTAAATTTTAGTTTCCAAGACCGTCAGTTCAGTCTGAAAAACACTATCGTCACTGAGTAAATAACTGGAGTGAAGTGGAAACCATTTTAGTCTGTGACATTTCAGTAGAGTTACGTCTTGACTGGGTAGTGCAAATAGTTAAGCACTAAACTACTAGCCATAAAGTTGGTATTTCAAGCTCAAACAGAGGCACCTCAGAAGACAGGCCTGGTGATCTGCTCCTGAAAGGTCACAGCCTTGAAAACCCTATGGAGCAGTTCTACTCTGCACGCATGGGGTCTCCATGAGTCAGCATCAATTCATCAGTAACTAACAACAACAAGAAGATCTTGACTGACCGCTAAATTGACTTTTGCAAATTTATATATATATATATGTATTTGGCAATAGGTTGTATACATCTGCTTTCATTTTTCAAAAGTTAGTAAAGAGCCAAGCTTACATAATTATGTGATTACTAGGTAAACTTCTCCTTTATAAAGGGTTATATTTGTACTGCTAGTGGATCAGAGCAAATTTTCAGGAAATATCCTTTAGTATTTTGCTAATTACTAAGTATGTAATGAAATTGGGTCTCCTTTCATGGAACTTTTGTTATTAAGGAGCCAAGTGCAATGGATTTAAGGTAGGAGAAAGCAGAAACAAGCAATTCACAAGAGCTAGTATCTTCCTGTAATGTAAATTTGCTTTTCCCTGCACCCCCGCCCCCATTCAACCCAGCACTGCATGAATAATTGATCCTGAGTGACTGATAACCAGTGAAGCGATAATACTGAGCTTCAGGGATCTGTGAAACTGAATTTATCTTCAAATCCCTGCACAGTTTTTGGGAGGGAGTGCATAGCTTTTATCAGATTGTTAGTGGTGTATGTGATTGCATAAAGTTTAAAAAGCCATCAGCTCTGAGGATTCGATTGAAGTGGGCATGCTCTACAGAGTTGAACTGACACTTATAAAGACCCTTTATTCTATTAACTTCTGCTAGTTTAGACTCTGCCACTCCTTTACCACCAGGGTCAGCTTCAGCCATGACAGTGCTTCTGTGTATAACTCATCAAACGTTTCACAAGTTGCAAACCATAAAATCCTCCAATTCACCTCCCTATACTGGTCTTATGCCAGAGTGTTAGCACATTTGGTCTATTCATGACACACGCTCATCACAGAGTCACTGGACTTTAGTATGGGATTAGATTGGGGATTTAAAGTAAACGTTTTTACTGTGCAATACCATAGTCCTGTCATTTCTTTCTAAAACAATGTGTTTTGTAACACTTCAGCAAATTTTCAGTGTGAAAACTTGAACTTAGACCAATTAGTTGGAAGATTTGAAAGCATTTGGATCAGTGGATTGCCAAGGAGAGAGTGAAGAGTGACCCCTGCAGGTTTGAACACGTTCAAGAAGGACAAGGCTGCCTCCTGGGGGAGCAGACATTGTTAGGCTAAGGCAATGCCAGCGAGTAGCTGTTCAGTTCCCCTAGGGCTGTAAATACTGGAAGCATGACTCAAAGCTCCCAGCCCCCTGTTGCCCACACCTTACATACTGGGGATTAGGGCCACTATCTGGCTTCTTCCACCTGGGCTAGATACTATATGGAGAATGAGTCAAGTGGGATTAAGGTCAGATTTAGAGACCTTTGCTATGAGACAAAGGCAAAAATACCAAAGCACATGTTTAACAAGGACAAAGTGAATCATAGTCCAACAAAGGTGGAAACATGGCCAAATGCATGGAGCTGGCGATCGGGAATCAGGTGGCCAAGATCCAATTGATTCTTTATTTCATTGCCTGGTTATATGGCTTTGAAAAAGTCCTATAACATTTCTGAGCTCAAATTTTATCTACTAAAATAAAAATCCAGAGGGCATTATGCTGAGTGAAATAAGTCAATCATAAAAAGACAAATACTATATGAGAGCACTATTATAAAAACTCACGGAAAGGTTTACACACAGAAAGAAACAATCTTTGATGGTTACTGGGAGACGGGGTAGGAAGGGAAAAACACTAGACAATAGATAAGTGGTAACTTTGGTGAAGGGTAAGACAGTACACAGTACTGGGGAAGTCAGCACAACTTGTTGAAGGCAAGGTCATGGAAGCTTCCTAGACACATCCAAACTCCCATAAGTATCAAGTTACTGGGCTG